CAAGTAAGATACTCGTGGATAGCATTCCATTTACGGGATCTACGTGAACTACCTTCACTGAAGTACCGCTCGGTACCGCTAAGTACCGCTTACTACATGATGCTCACTATCCACATGGCTCCCTCCTTGCCCTTCCCGTGTGTCCCCACCATCTCTCTAATCTACTGCTCTCTCCATCCCCGCTCTCCCCCCACTCAGGAACAACATTCCACCGTACTGGATCTGGATGAACTACCTCTCCACCTTCAAGTACCCCTTGGAAATGCTCACTCTCAACGAGTACGGCTCTCTCCCGTCCGTCTGCTGGGAATACCTCGTTAAGAGCGACCCCACCTCGCCCTGTATAGTCACCTCCGACACCGTTATTGCGCGATTCGATATGGCGGACAGCAAGTTCTGGGAGTCTGCAGTGGTGATGGTGTCGTTTTTGATCGGGTACAGGATCTTGTTCTATTTCGCGCTAAGGTACCAGACCGCACTCGTCCGCAAGTGACGGAGGGGTCTGGTTTCGACGAATAAATACGACGAATCTGGCGCGCCTGGTATTACCTGGAGTACAGTCGGTGCCCATTTCAAGAACACCAGGTAGGCGGGCGGCATGTGCGCGAAACGAGTTTGAGACATTTCGCCACGTTCGCCCTTGTCGCCACGGGCAAAAATGTGACTGTAAAATGAAATTGCAACGTGAATCGAGTCAAGGGCTTTAATTTCGTAACCATGTTAACTTCTCTGATGACGGGCAACCGTTGTTGTTTATGAACTGTAGATGTTTTTCTTCCTCAACTTGGTGACTGTACCCTGAAATCGGCACAATGATCAATTTAGTCACTCACGGGCAAAACGTTCGCGAGTGACTAAATTTCTAATTGTGAGGAGCAAATGTTTTGTGATAGGCTGAGCATCGACTGTATCTCTGACTCCGCGTGATTGAGACGCAGGCCAAGTGCGCGGGAGCAGAGAAGGAAGGATGGAGGAGCGATGGGTAGTGTGATATAGATGGGTTTGGTGTGGTGAACGTCAAAGTCTGTTTTGTACATGTGTATCTAACTGATAATCATAAACAAGTCTTCCCTCTTCCAGCATCAGTAGAGGATGGAGAAGTAATAAGGATCTCCAGTTACAGTAGTTCAGACACTCGTTGCAACAGAGCCGGGAGAAACACATTCTTGGCGGGGAGAAATTTTGTCTGCTACAGCAACCGTTCACTTGCTTACTGTTTGTCCTTTTTTTTCAACGCATAAACAAGCAAGTCAGATGTCATAGCCTACGTGGAAGTTACGGCAAGAGAATCGAAAGCTGCTGACATTGAATCTCCTGCTTGAGTGGCACCAGGAGCAGCACTAGCCTCAGTATCAGCCACGGGAGGAGCATCAGTATCAGCTACAGGAGAGGCAGCAGGAGCAACAGATACAGCAGTCTCAGCGGTAGCGGCAGTACCAGCAGCAGCTGCATCAGTGGCACCACCACCCGCAGCATCAGCAGCACCAGTTGTACTAGCAGCAGCAGCATCACCAGCAGTAGCACCACCATCCCCAGCAGCAGCAGCAGCAGCACCACTCCCAGCAGCAGCACCAACAGCAGCAGTGTATCGCCCATCTTTCCTGCGAGTGCGAGACACGCCCAGGCGGGGCAGCCCGCGATTCAACCCCTCCAGGAGCACACACGCCTTGCAGAGCTCCTGGTGAATGCGGGTTATGAAGAGTGGAGGGGTAGATGAGGGAAGGGGGGGGGTTGGTGGAATGAGACTTTAATGCCATCTTGATTCAACCCCTCCAGGAGCACACACGCCTTGCAGAGCTCCTGGTGAATGCGGGTTATGAAGAGTGGAGGGGTAGATGAGGGAAGGGGGGGGGTTGGTGGAATGAGACTTTAATGCCATCTTGATTCAACCCCTCCAGGAGCACACACGCCTTGCACAGCTCCTGGTGATAAAATTTTGAGGGGTGCGGAGAGGGGGAGGGGGGAGGTGAGAGGTCGAAAGAGGAGAGAGAGGAGATCTTCTCGTCACTGTGATTCATCATTCAACCCCTCCAGGAGCACACACGCTTTGCACAGCTCCTGGTGATAATTTTTTAAGGGGTGCGGAGAGGGGGAGGGGGGAGGTGAGAGGTCGAAAGAGGAGAGAGAGGAGACTTTCTCGTCACTGTGATTCATCATTCAACCCCTCCAGGAGCACACACGCCTTGCACAGCTCCTGGTGAAATATTTTTGGGAAAAGGGAAAGAAGGGAAAGAAAGAACAGACTCTTAGACCATCTTGCAATCCCTGGGAAGCACACATGCCTTGTACAGCTTCTCGTGATTGCAGCTTTTGAAGAGTTGTGGGGGGGGAAAAGAGGGAATCAAGGAGACCCTTGCCCCTCCATCAATCCTTCAACCCTTCAATTTTGTGCGGCAGCAATACAGCAGACAGATAGATGTCGTGAAAGAGCTTTTTTGAGAATTCCAAAAGCTAGTTGGCCTATACGAATTTCTCAAAACCCAGAAGTACAGCACTGCAGCAGACAAGCAGCTGTCCTGCAAGAGCACGGGGAGCTGGAGTTGGTGCTCCCTGATTCGTGTACACTTCTGTAACCATTCCTAGCTGGAGATGGTGCCCCCTGATTCGTGTGCACATCTGTTACCATTCCTAGCTGGAGATGGTGCCCCCTGATTCGTGTGCACATCTGTTACCATTCCTAGCTGGAGATGGTGCCCCCTGATTCGTGTACACATCTGTTACCATTCCTAGCTGGAGATGGTGCCCCCTGATTCGTGTGCACATCTGTTACCATTCCTAGCTGGAGATGGTGCCCCCTGATTCGTGTGCACATCTGTTACCATTCCTAGCTGGAGATGGTGCCCCCTGATTCGTGTGCACATCTGTTACCATTCCTAGCTGGAGATGGTGCCCCCTGATTCGTGTACACATCTGTTACCATTCCTAGCTGGAGATGTTGTTCCCTGATTCGTGTACACATCTGTTACCATTCCTAGCTGGAGATGGTGCCCCCTGATTCGTGTGCACATCTGTTACCATTCCTAGCTGGAGATGGTGCCCCCTGATTCGTGTACACATCTGTTACCATTCCTAGCTGGAGATGTTGCTCCCTGATTCGTGTGCACATCTGTTACCATTCCTAGCTGGAGATGGTGCCCCCTGATTCGTGTGCACATCTGTTACCATTCCTAGCTGGAGATGTTGCTCCCTGATTCGTGTGCACATCTGTTACCATTCCTAGCTGGAGATGTTGCCATACATGGCCAGATCTGTCTCCGTAATTGTCTAGAGAAGTAACCGCACCTGGCTGGAGATGTAACCGCATCGGTCGCAGGTGCGCTGAGTTGGCATCTTTGCATCAGCCTGGAACCTAAAATCCTCGGCAGATTTTATAATGTCCAAAATAGCTCGCGGCCTGAGAGTGAAATGAGTGCACACACAGGGGACGTCGACTTATGAAAACCAATAGGGGCCTTGAGTTTTTCTACCCCATTGTCGGCCTGGAATCTGAACTCCTCCGCAGATTTGATTATGTCCAAAATGACTCGCGGCCTGATCACACATGGGCAAGTTGAAAGGGGAGGAGCTTTGAGAGGCAGGCTGAAAAACATAACCATACTCGATAATCACCCCACTATCAACTTGAAATCTGAACTCGACGGTTGATTTGCTGACGTGAACAATGGCCCTCTAAGTCCTGGTGACTTCTGGATCGGGTGAGGAGGCGAGCAGGTAACGGCATGGCCGCATGGCCAGCTTACGTCACATGGGCTTAGAACCCCTTAACTTGAATTAATTAAGTACTTGAAGTATTTATGGATTCTGGAAAGGAAGGTACATACCCACTCATTGTATGGCCTCTAAGTCCTTCATAAATTTGGCGTTGACTCAAAGGCGTAAGCACCACACGTAAGGTAAGCTCTTATCAAATGGCCGATAAGCACTCTGGCCTATTATCACCCACTCACCGTATGGCCTCCAAGTCCTTGATGAATTCTGCGTGGACTCAAATAGGTCAGCACCATATGTACGGTACTCACTCATCCAATGTCCTGAAGTCCTAAATGAATACTGATAGAGGTAAGGTACACACCCACTCACCGGATGGCCTCTAGGTCCTTGATAAATTCACGGGCGAAGCCCCGATACGCGTCCGGAGAGTAGATGCCTGCATGCACAGGCAGAGGCACAAGGCGGAAAAGGGATGCACAGGAATGGGACGGAAAGGGGAGACGAGAGTAGGGGTGACAAAGAGAACAATTTTTTGGAGGGGTCTCAGAAGAAGGGAAACCTGGGAAGCAAGAATCTGGGAAGAGTGCAGCAGAATGGTCGCTTGCTTGATTTTGGGGAGGGGAACTCATCAGTCAACGAAAAGGGTGCTGCCCTCAACTACCATACTGTTTAGATGTGCTTGTGTTGGGGCAGGAGCGGAAAAGGGTGTGCATTCCAATCAAGGTGACCTGAAAAACACGAGCAATGAGCAAGCTCGGGGGACCCAGTGGCATAGAACAGGATTTTGCAGAACTGTTTTGTGAAGAGCTTGAAGAAGAAGCAAGAAGGATTCTTACATTCGGTGGAGAAATAGTCCAGCTTCTTGAAATGTGCGTACGTGCTGATTGAATATTGACAATGCGATGAAGCAGGTTACGTGGTGTAGGGAGGGGGAGAGAGGAAGGGGAGGGGGTGCAAGGCGAAGACAGGATCGGGAGGAAGGGGGTTGAGGAGGGAGAGGAACAAGTGTGGTAGGGAAAGGGGTGGTGGGGCAAAGGGGAGAAGGAAAACATAGGCAGAGGAGTGGGACGGAGGGAGAGAGGAAGAAGCAAGGAGAGAGCAAAGTGGGTAAAGAAGGGAGAGGAGAAGAGGAGAGGAGTTAAGGAAGTCTGAATTACAAGGGAAATCTGGTCACTCAAATAATGCACTTGTATTTGACTTAGTTGGACAAACAGAGTACAAGATTACGGAACAAGGAAAGAGTAGAAAAACGGTTCAAAATTGACAAGGCAAGGGGTGTTCCGAGGATTTTAGGTTGGGGGCGGATATATGACAATCTCCTTCTCGTAGGTGTATTTGAACGGCTTGCTCCTGGGCAGGGCAGAGTCCTCCCCCGTGGTGATGGCCGCGCAGCGACTCAACCTCGCCACGTCGCCTCTCAATAGATTCAGCAACACAGTTTCAGCGAAGTCATCCGCGTTGTGCCCCGTGACTAGCTTATCCGCTCCCAGAAGCGCTGCTCCCCTGTCCAGAGCCTGTATGTACCATCAACGTGTGTTGCAATAGGCAGAGAAGGGAAGGAAGAGAGAGAGAGCCAAGAGGATAAGCCTTGCAACAGTGCTCCTGGGCTGGGCAGGGCAGAGTCCTCCCCCGTGGTGATGGCGGCGCAGCGACTCAGCCTCGCCATGTCGCCCCTCAGCAGGTTGAGCAATACTGTCTCGGCAAAGTCGTCTGCATTGTGGCCCGTGACCAATTTGTCCGCTCCCAAGAGAGCCGCTCCCCGGTCTAGGGCCTGTAGAGAGCGTGAAAGAAAAAGCGAATGAGCTCAGCACTAACAGGGCAGAGTCCTCTCCCGTGGTGATGGCGGCGCAGCGACTGAGCCTCGCCACGTCGCCCCTCAGCAGGTTCAGCAGCACCGTCTCGGGGAAGTCGTCTGCGTTGTGCCCCGTGACCAGCTTGTCCGCTCCCAGGAGGACTGCTCCCCGGTCCAGGGCCTGTGGTGTGTTGATTGAAGGGGCATTGTAAGTTGCAGAAGGGGAAGCAGAGTGGGAGGGAAAACAGCAGCGACTGAGCCTCGCCACGTCGCCTCTCAATAGATTCAGCAACACTGTCTCGGCAAAATCATCCGCGTTGTGCCCCGTGACTAACTTGTCCGCCCCCAGGAGGGCTGCTCCCCGGTTCAAGGCCTGTGGCATGGGGAAAGGGAGGAGAAGGAGAGGCAGAGAAAAACAGTGGGAGACGGAGAATGATAGAGGAATGAGCTCAGCACTAGCAGGGCTTGCTCCTGGGCAGGGCAGAGTCCTCCCCCGTGGTGATGGCGGCACAGCGACTCAACCTCGCCACGTCGCCCCTTAGGAGGTTCAGCAACACAGTTTCTGCAAAGTCATCCGCATTGTGCCCTGTGACGAGCTTGTCCGCTCCCAGGAGGGCTGCTCCTCTGTCCAGGGCCTGTGCATGAGGTGCGTTGTATTGCAATAGGTGGAGAAGGGAAACAGACTCAGCCTTGCTTGCCACCTCCCCCCTCAGGAGAAGAGTGGGAGGGGAAAGAGCAATGACTGAGCGATGCCGCGTCGCCACGTCCCCACGATAGCCCCTCAACAAGAGATGCACCCACTTGCGCATAGAGATTACCCACATCCTGTCAACGCCCACCTGTCTTGTCAACGCCCACCTGTCGCCTGAACACCCCGCAGAACGTGCAGTTGTTCTTGCGGCCGATTGTTGCGACGATCTCGTCCATGGTCCACCCGTACAGGTCCTTGTATGACAGGATGGTGAGAGGGATGCCGTACTGCAGTGTGTGGTGGAGTGGAGGTGACGATGGGGGAGAGTAACACAGAGGGCACAGAGGCACAGAGGGACAGAGGCACAAAGGAACAGTTAATCTGATAGCCGCCACATTCTCATCCAAATATGGTCCACCCTTAGAGTTCCTTGCAAGAGAGGATGGTGAGGGGAATGCCGTACTGCAGATAATTGAACAAAGGGTAGAGAGAGAAAGGGAGATGGGAGAACTGAAGCATGGTGTGTGTGTCTGTCCATGGTCCACCTGTACAGGTCCTTGTAGGACCGGATGGTGAGGTGAGGGGAATGCCATACTACATGTAAAGGCAAGAGGAGATAGATTTTTGAGACGTCTCAAAGGTCGGATGGTGAGGGGGGTGCCATACTTCATGGAGAAGGCAAGAGGAGAATAAAAAGCGGAGATACGAGGATTGTGCTGTCAGGGATAAACAGGTGGGCTGCGGAGGTCTAAAATACCCTTTTTACACGTGAATAAAAAGCGGAGATACGAGGATTGTGCCTAAAAACCTGTCGCACCTGCACATGTGCCTCCTATGCTTCTACCCCACCCGTCCCATCCACCTCCTTACCTGCTTCTCGTTCCGCTTGACTGTCTCTAGCGAGTCGTCTCTGTACCCTGTGATCCCCTCATCAACGGAAAGCAGGAAGAGCCGCAGGCCGTAACACACAGAGCCTGTCCGCCCCTCCCACACATGTCCCCCACCCACCCACCCACCTGCTCACCTGCTTCTCGTTCCGCTTGACTGTCTCTAGCGAGTCATCTCTGTACCCCGTGATCCCCTCGTCAATGGAGAGAAGGAACAGCTGCAGGCCGTAGTCATGGCGTGTGTTGAGGAGAGACATGATGTGCGCCAGCACCGTGGAGTCTGGGGGATGGGGGGAGGGGGGTGGTAGTGGGGATGGGAGGGATCAGGAGCAAGGTCAGAAAGCTGACCTCACACAGGAAGGGCTGCAGGCCGTAGTCGTGGCGGGCGTTGAGGAGAGACATGATGTGCGCCAGCACGGTGGAGTCTGTAGGACGAGAGGGAAGAGGGAGGGGTGAAGGCGGAAAGTGTGAACGATTAAGTGCGCGCTCACTTAAGTTTGCCCATAAGAGCAGGAAGAGCTGCAGACCGTAGTCGTGACGTGTGTTGAGGAGAGACATGATGTGCGCCAGCACGGTGGAGTCTGGGGGAAGAGAGGGAGGGCAGGACGGAGGGGGAGACGGGTGAGAGAGATGATGATCAAGAACAAACATGGCAAACAGGATAACATTCCCCGACTCCAAACATGGCGTTAAAGGGGGAAATTTAGAGAGCGCGAACGTTGGAGTCTGGGAACAGGAAGGGGTGAGGCAAGAAAGGGAAGAAGCAAGACCTGTTTTTTGAGAATTCTCAAAAAATGGGAAGAGGCAAGACCTGCGGAAAATGTACATTGGGGAGTGTGTGGATTCGGGAGTTTGCAGAACTTGTATACGATGAGAACATGAAAAGCTTGTAGTCACCCTTGCCACCTGACGCTGCCACTGCGACGTTCTCTCCGCTCTTAAAGAGCTTGATCTCCAGAATGGTGGCACGGGCCTCAGATGCGAACACGTAAAGTGGAAATGAGAACGTCAATTAGAGCCCCTACATGAAAGCTCGTACTCACCCTTCCCCCCTGACGCAGCCACGGCCACCTTCTCTCCTCGCTTGAAGAGCTTGTTCTCCACGATGGTGCCACTCCTTGCACACCTAGACCCTCTTGAGCTGGTGTAGGATTTGAATTAGAACATCAGCAGCTGCTCTGCTACTCACCCTTTCCCCCTGATGCAGCCACTGCCACCTTCTCGCCTCGCTTGAAGAGCTTGTTTGTCGTGACGATGGCTTGGTTGTCCCACTCAAACAGACAGACGAAGCACTCCTTGCCCGTCTAAAGCCAATCAAACCAATCTAGGACGGGAATGAGAAGAACAACTGCTGCTACTCACCCTTGCCCCCTGATGCTGCCACGGCCACCTTCTCCCCTCGCCTGAAGAGCCTGTTCTCCACGATGGTTCGATGGATCTCCGATTCAAACAGGCGGAAGAAGCAGTCCTTGCACACCTGGGGGCAGGAGGGCAGGAGAGGGGGGGAAGTGGGGCAGAGGGAAGGACGCAGGCATGACTTTTGAGTCGACTCAAAAGTCAACTCAGTCCTTGCACACCTGGGGGCAGGAGGGCAGGAGAGGGGGGGAAGTGGGGCAGAGGGAAGGACGCAGGCATGAAAATAGACTCATGCAGGCATTTGAAACGGCCACGATGGTTTGATGGATCTCGGATTCGAAGAGACGGAAGTAGCAGTCCTTGCACACCTGGGCACCGTGCACGCCATGCAAGCAGATAGACAGGGAGTTCCACAAGACTCAAAACGCAGTCCTCTCACTTGAATCTCCGACTAGAGGAGATGGAAGAAGAAGCAGTCCTAGCACACCTGGGGGCGCACGGGAGGGGGAGGGAGAAGAGGGACGCATGCAGGCGTGAGCATTGACTCATGGAATGCTTTTGAGACGGCCGTCGATGGTGGCATGGATTGATTACTCGAACACGCGGAAGAAGCAGTCCTTGCACATGTGGGGGCGCACGAAGGGGGGAATCGATGGGACAAGGGGAGGGGGGAGATTGGGGGTGAGGGGGAAGGGGTGAGGGGGGCAAGGGGGAGAGGAACGGGGGAACACGCGGGGGGTGCGCGCACCTGCTGGCCGGTCTTGGGCCGTTTCACCATGGCGCGCTGCTCCCCGCACTCCCCGCACATCAGTCTTCCGCCTCCGCTCCCCCGCGCCCTCACCGCTGCGCCGCTTCCGCTGATGCGGATGCTCGGCGCGCTGTTGCTACAGCCGCTGCTGCTGTCTCTGCTGTCGTTGCTAGTGGCGGTAGCGCTACCTGTAACACTAACACTCGCGGTAATACTCGTGGTAACACTACTCGTGGAGGTGGTAGCGGGGGGAAACGAGCCGCAGGCATGATCGGAGCTGCTGCAACCGCCATTAACGGAAGAACAGCTGCCTAAAGGGACGGCGCGGTTGCTATCCTCGATACAGTTGCACCCGTTACACGGCCTTGCACAGTCGCTGCTCTCGCAAGTGGAAGTCATTTTCGAAGCCTGCTCGCCTGGCCTCGCTTGATCCTCTCTACAGGCACACGCGCCTCCGTTTGTAGGCATGATGCGCAGCGGGCGAGTGAGAAAGGAGCCGCTTGTGCTGAAATTAGGGTTCTGCTTAGAGCGGAATCCCCTAAGTTAGTGATCTGTAATAAGTGAACAATATTTGTTGGTATGACGTGCTGCGTGCCCTGGTTTTCTAGCAACTCAAATGCTTAGTAGAATATTGCGCAATAACGAGTCACCTATCAAAACCCAGAATCTCGACTTTTCCAGCAGAAGTTGAAATCGCAGCGCGAGCTAATACCTTCGCAGTTTTGTTTCGCGGAATTCGTCGAGCAACCCTTGTCACCACGGCGAAAACCAACCCAGCCTCGATTTTGGCGGTCAGACGTTTGTAAACCGTCGATTGGAGATTCAACGTCTGGTGTAGGTCGTTCCTTGGGATCTCCGTCCGCAAACCTCAGCCAGAAACTCCGTACCTCCGATCATCTTGGTTGAGTTCAGATTCAGTTTCGCTTCAAACCCTACCTAACCATTCTGTTCTCTCTACAAACCGTTCTACCGCGCAAAATGTGAAACTCTTTATCAGACTTGCACAGCTTCTGCTCCTCCTTTCCCATAGTTCCATCTTAGGGACTTGCCTCTTATCCCGCTCCGCGATCCCAGCCTAGCAACTGTAGCCTTGCCTAGTCGCGGCTCTTCGTCAAAACGCCATGGGACCAGAGGTGAGCCTGTTCGCTCTATCCCTTGTCCTCTCGGCTGTTCATTAGCTTCAATGCTCTGTAACGGATTATATTTAGTGCTGGTTCTGCCGATCAAGACCCCATATGCGATAGGAAGCTTGCGATCGCGTTGAATACTTGCTTCTGAGGTGCTTCTACGGGCCGTGATCGCGATCATTGCGTAATTTATTAATAGTATGATGTACCGCGATCGCGGCTAACGAATGTTTATCATACCTGAACGGGACGAAGTCCGCTATAGAGTACTTCAACTCAAGCCTAATTTACATGAGGATTCTCGTCCAGCTAACACGCTATGACAAACACACGCGAGGCGTTAAAATCTTCGTCCAGTTTCTGTTAACTCTACCGAAGCGACAAGAGTTCCGTCCGGTATCCCAGGAGCTTCGACGGTGTTCACGCAAGGCTAGCAGGGCCGATTGTAGCTGCTTTCGTCACTCAAGCTAAAGCTTCGAGCCGCGAAATATTTGTGTCTTGAACAGGGGTCGGCCTTCATCGTAGTAATCGCGTACACCCGCCCCATGTTCTTGTGTCTTCCTTTCGTTTTCTTTCGTGTCGACTTCTTATACATTTACACAGAAGGATCCCAGGCAGCAGCACCAGTGGCTCCTGAAGCCTCTTCGAGAAATTTTCGGGAATTCAATCAGTTTTCTTAAATCATTTTGTTGATTCCTTTTGCAATTTCCAGGAGAAGGATGCTCAGGCAGCTGCAGCAGCTGCCGCACCGCCTCCTCCCGAGGCCAATGCGGCTGCTGGAGAGAAGGAGGAGGACCCTGAGAGGAAGAAAAAGAAGGAGGAGAAGGTGGGCTTTGTAGTGGTGGTGACAGTACTGAGGACTTCAGGGGGTGCTACCTTTCGTTTTTGTCTAATCCACGGTTAGTCTGCAGTGAGGACTCCTCACGAGCAGTCTGAATGTCGGCAAAGGTCATTCAAAGCCATGGCGGCTCTACACGAATTCCGGCATTTCACTCCACAGCGCGCCCTGATCGCGTCAGCGTATCAATGTTTGAGTCAACTCAGAAATGACCTTATTGCGTCAGCATAGGTTTTAATCCAAGCTTTCTTGCAACAGTTTGGGTGCTCGTAGTCTTTCGTGATTGGCTCACACGGTTGGCTTGTCCAAGGCGAAGTGTGGGGGAACGACGGATGGACGGCTCTGATTATCTGCCCGGTTCATTCGTCATCACCTGTTACTGTCTCTCATGCACAATTTTTCAGGTCCAACAACCCGTTATTGTCACCAGAGTAGGACGTATAATTCAGTTCTCCTGCGCGTGGGATCTGTCACGTGGTCTACCTCTAGTTTCTTAATCCGGTTCTGGTTTTCAACCCCCATTACTGTCATCCCTCGTTACTGTCACCCATCCATTGTGTCACGGGCAGGCGCGGGAGAAGGAGCTGAAGAAGCAGAAGGCAGCAGAGAAGGCAGCCAAGGCCAAGGCAGCCGCTGCTGCTGCCGCTTCGGCTGAGGTGTGCGTTGTGGCCGTGATTGCCTTCTAGCGCCTACTTATTCGATAATTATTAAAGACAGTCGTTTCTGCAAATGCGCGAAAAACTGTGTCACATGTGAATTTTGGGCCTTTTCTTTGTTAGGTGTCAAAGAATCATAATCGTGACCTTCCTTTCCTCTCTCTGCCCCACCCCCTCCCCCTCTCCCTCTCCCGTTTTCCATGTTTGCCTTCTCTTGCTGCTTCAGCCTTCCAAGAAGGCAGAGGCGAAGGCCAAGAAAGCGGCTGCAGTGGCAGCAGGGGCAGGGGCAGGCGAGGAGGCCGATGCAGTAAATCCGCCCACGGAGCCCGGGCAGAAGAAGAACCTCGCCAAGGAGATGGCCAAGGCGTACAATCCCAAGGCTGTTGAAGCATCGTGAGTGTGGATGTACTGTACATAGTAACGAATCCGTTCTATAGCGCGGATGAAGTGTATTCGGCCCCACAGGGTCCAAGCAGAAGAAGAACCTCGCCAAGGAGATGGCCAAGGCGTACAACCCCAAGGCTGTTGAAGCCTCGTGAGTGTAGATAAACTGTACAATGATAGCGAAGTGGCTCTATGATGAAGATGCCGTGTAACCGTCCATGGAGGATCCTGGGTGTGCGAAGGATCTTGCCAGTCGAGTTTTGAGGCGTTTCAATACTTGTAGTCGTTCAGTTATGACTGGGGCTCACAGTGCACTGCAGCAGTCTTTCAATGCGAATATGAGTCTTTTCCCTCCGCTCCCGCCTCATCTTATTTTCTCCTGGGTTGTCCTCACGACCCCGCCAGGTGGTACGAGTGGTGGGAGCAGGCAGGGTTCTTCAAGGGAGACAATCAGAGCACCAAGCCACCCTTTGTCATTGTAAGCTCTCTTGTCCTTCGTCCTTCTTGTATTCCTGCGTCGATTGCATTGCGTTGCATCTGATCTGATCTGATCTGATCTGATCTGATCTGATCTGATCTCATTTTCACAGCCTGGTTTGTGGAACTGGTCCTACATGAGCCCATTCTTGCTGGTTACCCACCTGCTCTCTGCTCTCGCTGCTCGCTGCTCTCCACCCCTTCCTCTTCCTGCAGGTGGTGCCTCCCCCCAATGTGACCGGCGCGCTGCACATCGGGCATGGGCTGACAGCAGCAGCAGTGGAGGAGCTTCCCTTCCTTTCCCTTCTTTACCCTCCCACAACAACTCTTCTCCCTTCCCCTCCTCCCTTTCCCTCCTCCCTTCCATTCATCGCCACTCTCTCCTACAGGCGATGCCTCCCCCGAATGTGACGGGGGCGCTGCACATTGGCCACGGGCTGACAGCAGCAGTGGACGGGCTTCCCTTCCCTTCCCACACTCCCATGACCCACAAGCTGTTCTTTATCGCCCCTTCCTGTCCCCACCCTTACCCCTCTTGTCCGCTGCAGGTGGTGCCTCCTCCCTTTGTGATCGGAGCGCTGCACATCGGGCATGGGCTGACAGCAGCAGCAGTGGAGGAGCTTCCCTTCCTTTCCCTTCCCTACCTACCGACAACAACTCTTCTCCCTTCCCCTCCTCCCTTCCATTCATCACCTCTCTCTCCTACAGGTGGTGCCCCCTCCCAATGTGACGGGGGCGCTGCACATCGGGCACGGGCTGACAGCAGCAGTGGAGGACACAATCGTGCGGTGGAAGAGAATGAGTGGCTACAACGTGTGCTGGGTGCCGGGGACGGACCACGCTGGCATCGCCACTCAGGTGTGTTTGGGTGAACTGAAGGTGCTTGGGTTAGGTTTGGTGTGTGTGGCATGGCGTCGCCACCCAGGTGTGTGCTGTGGTGTGGTGTGGTGTGGTGTGGTGTGGTGTGGTGTGGTGTGGTGTGGTGTGGGGCTGACAGCAGCAGTGGAGGACACGATCGTGCGGTGGAAGCGAATGAGCGGATACAATGTGTGCTGGGTTCCAGGGACGGACCATGCTGGCATTGCCACCCAGGTGTGTTTGGGCGAACTGAAGGTGCTTGGGTTAGGTTTGGTGTCTGTGGCTTGGCATCGCCACCCAGGTGTGTGGTGTGGTGTGGTGTGGTGTGGTGTGGTGTGGTGTGGGGCTCACAGCAGCAGTGGAGGACACGATTGTGCGGTGGAAGCGCATGAGCGGATACAACGTGTGCTGGGTGCCGGGAACGGACCACGCAGGCATTGCCACTCAGGTAAACTGTGTGGGGTTGAAGGTGTAGGTCTGGTGTGTGTCTGGTGGTGCGGCTGACAGCAGCAGTACAGGACATTGTCGTGACTTTGAGTCGACTCACAACCCTCTCCTCTCCATCACCTCTTCGTCGTCCCTCCCCTCCCCTCCATTCATCTGGCAGGTGGTGGTTGTGAAAGTCGCATTGTGGTGGGAGAGGTTCTGTCCCACCACAATGCGACTTTCACAACCTTCTCCTCTCCATAACCTCATCGTTCCTCCCCTCCCCTCCCCTCCCCTCCTCTCGCCCCTCTCCCCTCGCCTCCATTCATTTTGCTAGTTGTGGGCCCGTCTCGCCACAACGCGACTTTGAGTCGACGTGCAACCCCCTCAATCGTCCCCCCCCCCTCTTCCCTCCTCTTCCCTCGCCTGGCTGCCAGGTGGTGGTGGAAAAGAAGCTCACGCGGGAGAAGGGTCTGTCTCATCACGACGTGACTTTTGAGTCAACGCACAACCCTCCATCACCTCCTCCCCTCCCCTCCCCTCCCCTCCCCTCCCCTCCCCTCCCCTCCCCTCCCCTCCCCTCCCCTCCCCTCCCCCCCCCCTCCCCTCCCCTCCCCTCCCCTCCCCTCCCCTCCCCTCCCCTCCCCTCCCCTCCCCTCCCCTCCCCTCCCCTCCCTTCCCCTCCATGCATCTACCAGGTGGTGGTGGAAAAGAAGCTGATGCGGGACAAGGGTCTGTCCCGCCACAACGTGACTTTGAGTCAACGCACAACCCTCTCCTCTCCAACAACTCATTGAGTCCCTCCTTCGCCCCTCCTTACCACCCCTCCCTTCCATCCCCTGGTTGACAGGTGGGTGGTGGTGGAGAAGAAGCTGATGCAGGAGAAGGGTCTGTCTCGCCACAACGTGACTTCGAGTCAACGCATAACCCTCCATCACCTCCTCCCCTCCCCTCCCCTCCCCTCCATTCATGTGGCAGGTGGTGGTGGAAAAGAAGCTCATGCGCGAGAAGGGTCTGTCTCGCCACGATGTGGGCAGGGAGGACTTTGTCAAGGAGGTATGCTTAACCGGCACGGCACGGTCATTCTCCGTTACAGGCCAGAGTGGCGATTGTTGCTCCATAACTTCTCTTTCTTGCTTGCTTGCTGTTTTCTCACAAGGGTTCTTTCTAGGGCTCAAATTTGATTGTTCTCCGTGCAGGACTATGTGATCGACTCAAATGACACCTCTTGCCTGCTGTGCCTGTATCGCGTGCTTGCTTGCTTGCTTGCTTTCTCTCGCTGCGAGTGCACTGTGCAGGTGTGGAAGTGGAAGGAGGACTATGGAGGCCGCATTGGGAACCAGCAGCGCAAGATGGGGGCTTCTCTTGACTGGTCCCGAGAGGTGAGCATGCATGAGCATTGGCGAATATACAGGTGGTCGAATGGACCGAGCCTTGGTTCATCTTGGTCCAGTGCTTCACCGTGGCATGGACGACAAGTTGTCTCACACCGTAGGCATTACAAGCTGGTTTAGAGAATTCTCAAAAACCAGGTCGAACGGACCGAGCCTTGGTTCTTCTTGGTCCAGTGCTTCACTTCACCGTGGCATGGACGACAAGTTGTCTCACACCGTACGCATCACACATACGCTTCTCTCGTCTTGAAATCCCACCTCTCCCCTTCTTTCCGCTCCTCTCCTCTTCTCCCCCCCCCCACAGCCCTTACCGCGTGGACGACAAGCTCTCTCTCGTGCTGTAGGCACGGTGAGGCCCCAGAACCCTTTTCACTAACCAACCATCTCCCCCCATCTCCACTCCATCCCCAACCTTTCCCCCCCAGTGTTTCACCATGGACGACAAGCTGTCCCGTGCCGTAGGGCCGTAGGCATCACACATGCCCCTCTTTCATCCAAACCAACCTCCCACTTCCTTCCCCCCACCCCTTCCCCCCCCCCAGTGCTTCACCATGGATGACAAGCTGTCCCGTGCCGTCACAGAGGCCTTTGTCAGGCTGCACGACCAGACCAGGGCTTCATCTACAGGTGGCGGGTGACTGCTTTTTCCCATTCGCCCCACTTCTCCCAACCCCCCACTCCCCCCCCCCAGTGCTTCACCATGGATGACAAGCTCTCTCGTGCCGTCACAGAGGCCTTTGTCCGCCTGCACGACCAGGGGCTCAATTACAGGCAGCAGGTGGTGGGCAGGCGCTCGCTACAAGCAGTGAAACTTCTCACTGCCTTGTTCCATTCCCTTCCTCCCCTCTTCCATCCACCCGACCCCCCTGCACCCCTTCCCCCCCCCCAGTGCTTCACCATGGATGACAAGCTCTCTCGTGCCGTCACAGAGGCCTTTGTCAGGCTGCACGACCAGGGGCTCATCTACAGGTGAGTGGTGGGTGCTGTGCGGTGCTGTGGGGCTGGTTGCATGCTCTTTGAGGCGCCTTACACAGCATTTGCCAGGCTGCATGACCAGGGGGCCATTTACCGGCGGTGGGTACCTTACGCTCTATTGGGATCACTTTGACTTTGAGAACTTTCAAAAGTGGAGTGGAGGGGAGGAGCTGGTTACATGCTGTTCAACAATCAGCCATCATGAGCCAACAAGGCCTCCTTGGAATTTTCTCGCAACACACCCACCTCCTCGCCACTATTTGTTCTGCAAAGCAAAGCTTTTGATCTTGCTTTCGCTCTCTGGTTCTCTCCTTTCTTACCTCCCTGCTCTCCTCCTCTCCCCGGCCTGTCTCCTGTGTATCCTCCCTCTCTGCCCCTCAAAGGCACGCAGCTGGTCAAATGGGACTGAGTCTTCTGGGTCGACTCATCACCCTCCTCTCCGCTTCTCTCCCTGCCTCGTCTCTGTCCCCTCCTCTCTCCACATCTCCTTTTCCTTCTTCCCCCGCTTCCCATATCTCCTCTCCTTCCTCACTGCCCCGCAGGGATAACCGCCTGGTCAACTGGGATTGTGTCCTCCGAACAGCCATCTCCGATATTGAGGTACAGTGATTGCTCGTTACAGGCATCCATGGTATGGTATGATGGTATCATGCTGAGGTTCTGCTTTACTATAAACATCAAAGTGAGATGGTATCATGGCATCCCTCTCTTTTTGTCCTTCCCAGGTGGAATATCACGAGCTTAAGGGTCGCACCCTCCTCCCTTTCCTAGGCTATGAGAAACCAGTGTGGCATACCTGTTTTGAGCTGACCCATTATGATCTTCCCTCACGCCCTCCCCAACAACCCTCTTCCTTTTTGTCCTTCCCAAGTTCCGCACGCCCCTTCCTGTCCCTGGCTACGACGACAAGCCAGTGTTGCGTACCCGTTATAAGCTGACCCGGTATAAGTCAAATATTTCTTTGCCTTTTTGCCCCAGGTGGAGTATCACGAGCTGAAGGGGCGCACGCTCCTCCCTGTCCCAGGCTACGACAAACAAGACTCGTTATAAACTGACACCTGCCCTCTCCTTTCCGCCTTTCCCAGGTGGAATACCACGAGCTGAAGGGCCGAACCCCCCCTCCCTGTCCCCGGCTACGACAAACCAGTGCTGTGGTGTGGCGCCCTTATAGCTGGCCTGTTAGTGCTTCTAGTAGACTGACTCTGTCTTTCATTCCCTTCCCAGGTGGAGTATCACGAGCTGAAGGGGCGCACGCTCCTCCCTGTCCCCGGCTACGACAAACCAGTGTTGCGAACCCATTATGAACTGATTCGCTATAAGTTGAATTCTTGCCTTTCCCCCTTTTCCCCCTCAGGTGGAATACCACGAGCTGAAGGGGCGCACGCTCCTCCCTGTCCCAGGATACGACAAACCAGTGGAATTCGGAGCCATCACCTCGTTCGCATACCCCTTAGAAGCCGACTCAGCACAGGCAGAAGGCGAGGGGGCTCTGACTGAGATTGTGGTGGCAACCACCCGGCCTGAGACCATGCTGGGAGATACGGCAGTGGCTGTGCATCCGGATGATCCTCGTTATAAGGCGCTTCACGGCAAGTTTGCGGTGCATCCGTTCAGCGGGAGGCGGATCCCGATTGTGTGCGATGCAGAGCTGGTGGATATGGCTTTTGGGACCGGTGCTGTGAAGGTGAGAGCAATCGAAGGTGGGAGGGAGGGTGTGGAGAGGATGGGAAGGTATGCAGTTGCTGGAAGGATCCTGATAGTGTGCGATGCGGAGCTGGTGGACATGGCATTTGGGACCGGTGCTGTGAAGGTGAGAGCCGGGGAGAGGTGGGGGAGAGGGGACGGAGAGAAGGGGTTGATGAAGTGGGCAGGTGGGGCGAGGGAAGGGGAAAGGGGCAAGCTTGCAGTGAGTGCATGCGATTGTGTGCGACGCTGAGCCGGTGGATATGGCGTTTGGGACTGGTGCTGAGAAGGTGAGACAAAGTGGGGTGAGTGGGGATAAGTGGGGGAAGTGGGTGAGGGAAGGGGAAATTGAGCATTGAATCAGAGCCGTTCGTGTGCGTGGGGGACCAGTGCTGTGAAGGTGAGGATGAGAGGGAGAGGTGGATGAGACGAGTGGGGGATTGAGTTGAAGGGGAAGGGGTATATAGTTTCTGGAGTGGTGGATCCCAGTGGTTTCCAAGCAGCACGTCTTAACATTTGCCACGGGCAAGCAAGAGGCATAACCTGGCGATGTAGAGTGTTTTTGAGAATTCTAAAAAAATCTCAAGAATTCTAAAAAATTCTCAAGAATTCTCAAAAACACTCGACACGGGCAAGAGGCATAACCTGGCATTCATCAATATCTTCACGAATGATGGGCTGATCAACGCCAACGCCAACGCCCACTCTCATCCCCCCTGTCTCCCCCACACGCACACTGCTCTATATCCTCCAGATCACGCCGTCCCATGACCCCAATGATTTCGCCACCGGCAAGCGCCACAACCTGGAGTTGACTAACATCTTCACGGAGGATGGGCTGTTAATTCAAACCAAAATCATCACTCAATGTGATTCCCTCTCTCTCCCACCCTCTCACTACCTCTCCCTTTCCTGTCCGTCAGATCACGCCCGCCCATGACCCCAACGATTTCGCCACCGGCAAGCGGCACAGCCTGGAGTTTATCAATATCTTTACGGATGATGGGCTGATTAATGCCAACGGTGGGAAGGAGTTTGAAGGGATGAAGCGGTTTGATGCGCGCACTGCCGTGCTGGAGAAGCTGCAGGAGAAGGTGGGTCCTTCATGTGTGTGTGTGGGGCAGTCAGTGCATTCTTTCTCAGTCCCAGTCAGTTGTCTAACTTCCAGGCAACTAAATCGTCGCCTCAGCGGTTTGATGCGCGCACTGCTGTTCTGGAGAAGCTGCAGGAGAAGGTGAGAAAGGTTGTGAGGACGCTCATGCGCGCGCGCTCGCACACATGCACGCACGCACACACACACACACACACACACGCACACACACACACACACACACACACACACACACACGCGCGCGCGCACGCACGCACGCACGCACGCACGCACGCACGCACGCACGCACGCACGCACGCACGCACGCACACGCACACGCACACGCACACGCACACGCACACACGCACACACGCACACACACACACATACGGGGTCTGTAAAGGGAAGTAGCAGTCAGCCCCATGCGCGAGCCACTCAAGCCCTTTGCATCCCTCCCTCACCTCTTCACTCTCAGGGTCTTTACAGGGGCGTGGCCGATAATCCCATGCGCCAGGGCTTCTGTTCCCGAAGCAAGGACATCATACATAGAGCCCATGCTCAAGCCTTGTTCTCTCCCTGTCATCCTTGTAACTGCAGGGTCTTTACAGGGGCGTAGCAGACAACCCTATGCGCCTGGGCTTCTGTTCCCGCAGCAAGGGCATCATAGAGCCCATGCTCAAGCCCTTGCATTCCCCTACCCCTATCACTACTTCTCTCCATATGCCGTACTTGCAGGGGCTGTACAGGGGAGTTGCTGATAATCCCATGCGCCTGGGCTTCTGCTCGCGCAGCAAGGGCATCATAGAGCCCATGCTCAAGCCCTGGTTTCCCCCCCCTCCACCACGCATTCTTCTGTCATCCTTATAACTGCAGGGTCTCTACAGGGGTGTGGCAGACAACCCCATGCGGCTGGGCTGCTCGCGCAGCAAGGACATCATCGAGCCCATGCTCAAGCCGTGCTGTTTATTCCCTATGTTACTACTCTCTCCTTGCCTGCACTCCCTCAGGGTCTATACAGGGGAGTGGCAGACAACCCCATGCGACTCGGCTTCTGCTCGCGCAGCAAGGATATTATTGAGCCCATGCTCAAGCCACAGTGGTATGTCAGCTGCGCTGACGTGGCGGCTGACGCGTGCCAGGCTGTCAGGGACGGCCAGCTGGAGTTCATTCCCAAGGCGCACGAGGAGACCTGGTTCAGGTAAGATATTTCCGAGGCCAGGTGGCGCCTGGGAAAGGCTGTTACAGGACAGGTGGTTACCAGGCTGGTTTCGGTGGCCAATCTGTGCCAGGCTGGGAGTCAGGGACGGCCAGTTGGAGTCCATCCCCAAGGCGCACGAGGAGACGTGGTTCAGGTGAGGAATGTCCTGGTGCAGGTGGTTATTAAGGCCAAGATAGGTGGTTACTGGAGCAGGCTGTTACAGAAACAGGTGGTTACCAGACTGGTTGCAGTGCCAGGCTGTAAGAGATGGCCAGCTGGACTTCATTCCGAAGGCGCACAAGGAGACGTGGTTCAGGTGGGCGCTTCTCTTATGCTCAGGCTGTCTTGTTGGTAGGACAGGCAGGGAACGGTCTTATGATGGCAAGATAGCATATATGAGGCTGTCAGGGACGGCCAGCTAGAGTTCATTACAAGCCACAAGAGAAAACGTGTGCCTCCCACTCCCCGTCCTGGTTCCCCCTTCCTCCTCCCCCCTTCCCCCCCCCAGATGGCTGGAGAACATCCGTGATTGGTGCATTTCCCGCCAGCTCTGGTGGGGCCACCGCATCCCCGCGTGGTACGTCACATTCGACCAATCAGACGAGGCCGCCGCCCGGGACTTCCCCGTCCGCGACTTCGGCGCATACAACACCAACTGGGTCGTCGCGCGCACCGACGAAGACGCGCGCCGGGCAGCCGAAAAGAAGTTCCCGGGCAGGAAGTTCGAGCTCGGGCGGGACCCGGATGTCCTGGACACGTGGTTTTCGTCGGGGCTGTTTCCGTTCTCGGTGTTTGGGTGGCCCGAGGAGAGTGCGGATCTCAAGGCGTTTTACCCGACCGCGCTGCTGGAGACGGGGCATGACATTCTCTTCTTCTGGGTTGCTCGCATGGTGTTTATGGGGCTGCGACTCACTGGGCAATTGCCCTTCAAGCAGGTGCGTGGGGCGGTGCAAAGGTGTGTAGAAAGGTTGCAGAGTGGTGCAAGGCAGTGAAAAGGGGTGTCTGGATGGCGCTAGGGTGCCATGCCATCACCGCGCTGCTGGAGACGGGCCATGATATCCTTTTCTTCTGGGTCGCAAGAATGGTGTTTATGTTGCTGAGACTCACTGGCCAGCTTCCCTTTAAGCAGGTGAGCGGTGCAGAGGAGTGAAAATGGTCGCAACGGGGTGCAAGGGGGTGAGAAAGGATGTTAGAATGGTGCTAGGGTGCCATACCGCGCTGCTGGAGACGGGCCATGATATCCTCTTCTTCTGGGTTGCCCGGATGGTCTTCATGGGGCTGCGACTGACTGGACAGCTGCCCTTTCAGCAGGTGTGTGGGGCGGTGCAAAGGAGTGCTGCAGAGGAGGGTGGTCGGATGGTGAGGGATGCTCATGGCCACAAGATGCCCAAATCCCTGGGAAACTTGATCGACCCCTCTGGAGCCTCCAGACTGGAGGTGATCACTCTTTGCTAACCCACCTCCCTCCCATTCTGGACAAAAACGACCTACACTTCCCCATTCTCCCACCCTTACCCCACAGGTGTATCTCCATGCCATGGTACGGGATGCTCATGGGCGCAAGATGTCCAAATCTCTGGGAAACGTGATCGACCATCTGGAGGTGATCAACGGCATCTCCCTGCAGCAGCTGCAGGCGAATCTGGAGCAGGAAAAGTCTCTCATTTCGCCCCCGCCCCGCCCCATAACCCCTCCGTGCCTGCATCGCTCCCCACACCGCAGGTCTACCTGCATGCCATGGTGCGAGACGCTCACGGGCGTAAGATGTCCAAATCCCTGGGAAACGTGATTGACCCTCTGGAAGTGATCAACGGCATCACCCTGCAGCAGCTGCAGGCGAACCTCGAGAAGGGCAACCTGGGTCTGCTTCCCTCCCTCCTCACCACCCAACAACCCCAACAACCCAAACAACCCCTCTTTGCCTCCACCCCTCCCACAGGTCTACCTGCACGCCATGGTGCGGGATGCCCACGGGCGCAAGATGTCCAAATCCCTGGGCAACGTCATTGACCCATTGGAGGTGATCAACGGCATCTCCCTGCAGCAGCTGCAGGCGAATCTCGAGAAGGGCAATCTGGACCCGCGGGAGGTGAAGAAGGCGCAGGCAGGGCAGGCTGCAGACTTCCCCAACGGGATTGCTGAGTGCGGCTGTGACGCCCTGCGCTTCGCCCTCGTCAACTACACCACTCAGGTACGCCCTTGCCTGGGTTGACCCATCTCTCTTTACCATACTACTCAGGTGGGTAACGGCTCGTTCCAGAGAAGGGCAATCTGGATCCGCGGGAGGTGAAGAAGGCGCAGGCAGGGCAGGCCGCAAACTTCCCCAACGGGATTGCTGAGTGCGGCTGTGACGCCCTGCGCTTCGCCCTCGTCAACTACACCACGCAGGTGAACTCTCTTGCGGACCTACATACATAGGACAAGAACGGGTGAGAATGGGAGGGGTGAGTGGGTCATCATAGGTTATGAGGAAGAGCAGGAGTATGTATGTGTGGGGTCGTTTTATCAAGAAACGATGGTGACTGGTCAATAGAGAAGCTGTGGAAGGAAGAAAGAACGAGTCGAATTTTGAGGCGCCTCAAGAGGAAGAAAGAACGAGTCTGAACTGAAAGGGACGCTTTCGAAGTGCAACGTTCGTGGTTTATTGAGTATGTGCTGTTACGGCTTGCTCAAACACGTATTTTGAGGGGTTTCTTCTCTTTTTTTTTCTTGTGTGAGCATCACCAGATCTTCCAAAGTGTGCTTCCATGTTCCCACCCCCTCCCCCTGTCTCCCTCTGCCCCTTTCAGTGGATGAACATCAATCTGGACATCCAGCGAGTGCACGGCTACCGCCTCTGGTGCAACAAGCTCTGCTGATGTGGGTGGGAGAACACTCACGCATCACTCAACTGCCCCACCTCTTCCCCTCTCCTCTCTGCCCCTTGCCATCTCTTGCTCTTCCCCCTCCCCCTCTCCAGTGGATGAACATCAACCTCGACATTCAGCGAGTGCACGGCTACCGCCTCTGGTGCAACAAGCTCTGGAACGCAATCCGTTTCGCCATGCTCAACCTCGGAGACTCCTTCACGCCCCCGTCCGTGCTCCCCCAACCTTCCTCCTCCGATTCCACCTCTCCTCCCCTCACTCCCACGCTCAACTTTGCCTTCTCTGCACCGCTCCCGCTGTCCTGCCGCTGGATTCTGTCCGTGCTTAACGCCGCGGTTACGCGTGCGGTAACCGCGCTGGAGGGGTATGACCTGGCAGAGGCGACGAATGCGGCGTACGCGTGGTGGCAGTACCAGCTGTGCGACGTTTTTATTGAAGTGGCGAAACCAGCCTTCAATGCAGCTGAAGGAGAGGAAGCACTCAAGCTGAAGCAGGTGGGTGACTGCTAGGTAAAGCACTAGCTGCGTACGCGTGGTGGCAGTACCAGCTGTGTGATGTCTTCATTGAAGTCGCTAAGCCGGCCTCAATGCTGCCGAAGGGGACGAAGCACTCAAGCTGAAGCAGGTGGGCAGTGGGTGTGGCTTGGGTTTTGGCTAGGTTGTTGTTGACTACTCAGAAGCTGCATAAGGCAGTGGATGAGGCATGGTTTAGTTTAGATGCATAGGTATTTGTATCAGCTTTCAAACTTCCCCTTTCCAGCTTCCTGATTTCAGTCCATGGGACAACGTTTCTCACAACGGCTAGCAACAAACAACACTTCCGCACCCACCCAAAATTGCAGGAGAGCCAGCTAATATCGTTTGTGTACGACGAGCAGCAACCGCAGTGGATGCAAACCGTCCGCTTCTTCCTCTCCCGCCCGGGCCTCCACTCGCTTGACCTCTGCTTCTCCAAACCCGAGCATCTTCCCACTCTCGGCGTCTCGTCGTACACGAGCGATATGGGTTTGGAGAAGCAGAGGTCAAGCGAGTGGAGGCCCGGGCGGGAGAGGAAGAAGCAGACGGTTTGCATCCACTGCGGGTGCTGCTCGTCGTAAACGAACGATATGGGCTCACCACCCCTTTCTACCTCGCTCGACTGCTCTCCCACCCCTCACTACCGCTTCCTACCCCTCTCCACCTTTCTCAACCCCTATCCATCGCTCTCAGGTGACTCGTGAGGTCCTCTGGGTGTGTCTGGATGCCGGCCTTCGCTTGCTGCACCCCTTCATGCCATTCGTCACGGAGGAGCTCTGGCTGTTTTCTTTCCCCCACCTCCATGTTGGCCTCTCTCTCCCCTCCACCCCTTTCCAACTCTCTCCACCGCTTCCTACCCCTCTCCACCTTTCTCAACCCCTATCCATCGCTCTCAGGTGACGCGCGAGGTCCTCTGGGTGTGTCTGGACGCGGGTCTCCGTCTGCTGCACCCCTTCATGCCATTCGTCACGGAGGAGCTCTGGCAGCGCCTGCCCAAGCCGGCTGACTACTCTTGGCCCTCCATCATGCTCGCTCCTTACCCCTCGCCCGTCAAGGTATGCAAAAGCAGCTCTCACTTGTTAGAAACGTCAGTGCTAACCAACTGGGTTAAGAACAATCACTGCTGCACCCCTTCATGCCATTCGTCACGGGAGCTCTGGCAGCGCTTGCCCAAGCCAGCTGACTACTCCTGGCCCTCCATCATGCTCGCTCCTTATCCGTCCCCGGTCAAGGTATGTTCACACTCTAACTTCCTACTCAGGAAAGACAGCACAGCACCCTGTGACTGGCTTGCACGTGTCACGGAGGAGCTCTGGCAGCGCCTTTCCAAACCAGCCGACTACACCTGGCCCTCAATCATGCTCACCCCCTACCCCTCGCCCGTCAAGGTACGCAAAGCAAAGAAAGTCTCTCTTTTTCTGCCCTTCCGAGTGGGCCCACCCCTTCTGCATTTTATTTATCAGTGCTGGTCGCAGCAACTACTTACACTACATCCGCCCTGCTGCGATGAATTTTCCCTTCCCACCGCCAGTGTCCTGAACTCTACTCAACCCTTTCACTCTTTATGTGGTTTTACTCACCAACAGGAGTGGGCGGATCCCGAGGCAGAAGCAATGATGGCAACGGCTGAAAGCGCGGTTCGCTCCATCCGCTCCCTGCGCATGGCCTATGCGCTGCAGCCCAAGCAGCGGCCCACGGCGTATGCTCAATGCAAGAGCGAGGCTGCCACTGCTGCAGTGACGGCTGCTGTGGGGGAGATCAAGACTCTTGCCACACTCGCAGAGCTGCAGGTAAGGAGGAGTGAGGGGAGGGGTAGGTAGGTGTGGCACAGAGGGTCACCGCTCCCTGCGCATGGCGTATGCACTGCAGCCCAAGCAGCGGCCCACGGCGTATGCTCAGTGCAAGTCTGAGGCGGCTACTGCTGCTGTGACGGCTGCTGTGGGGGAGATCAAGACTCTTGCCACACTCGCAGAGCTGCAGGTAAGCAGTAGTGAATGGAATGGCATAGGCAATGGTCTGGCCAGTGTATGCTCAGTGCAAGAGTGAGTGAGGTTGCTGCTACTGCTGTGGTGACTTCTGTGTTGGGGAGATTAGGACCCTCGCGACACTGGCAGGTAAGCAGCAGTGAAAGGTGAAAAGGCAGAGAGATCTGATTGACCGAGGCCTAAAGCATACTCGCAGGGTGTGCAGTGTCCCTAGTGGATGAGAGCCAATCCGTGCACGTGTTGCTGAGAGGCACGGTGGGCACTATGGCGGAATCGAAAGGAATGTAAGAGGTGGGAGTAGAGGAAACGGATGGTGTGTAAAAGAAGAATATTAAATACAAGAACAAGCAAGGGGTTTTTTTGGTCGCTGGTCAAGTCGGGCTGGTGTTGACAAGCATGTCCGCGAAAAACGGGTGAAGAGAGTGCGTGTCCACAGGCCTCGTAAGTTAGAGTCAGGCGTGCACGCTGCAGTTGAGATTAGAACCGACCGCTTCCTTGTGAGAGTTATGGGGGAGAATGATAGGAAAATGATTGGGCTGTTCGAAGGTTGCCGCATGGATGGCATGGCTTCTCAACTTGCGAATGTTCTCTTAAGACGACCCTTCCTGTAGCGAGCAGCTGAGAAATATTTTATGCAATGTGATTCTTGGTCCGATTTGATTGACAAGCCAAGCCAGGAGGTTGAGTAATTAAGCGTGTCTTCCCACTCTCCCTCCTTTTATCACTCAACCTCCTGACTTGGCTTGTCAATCAAATAAAACCAAGAATCACCTTTCCTTTCAACCTTTCTCGGCTGCTCATACGGGAAGGGTCGTCTTAAAGCCAGGGTCTCAAGTGACCAAGTGCTTTGCAGTCGATGAAAAACGGGCCTGTTTGATTGGCTTACAAATTTGGGGCCAAAGTTTTGACAAATCGAGACTCTCCAAAGAGCCCACTTTTCGCCCAAGTGCTTTGCAGTTGCACGGCCAACCCGTACATGAGACCCTGGCTTTAAGTGGACATGTGCAAGTTGAGAAGTCATGTCAGCCATGCAACAGCCCAATCATTTTCCTATCATTTTCCCCCATAACCCTCACAAGGAAGTGGCCGGATCTAAACGCAAACGCAGCGTGCACACCTGACTCTAACTTGCGCGGCCCGTGAACACGCACTCCCTTCACCCGTTCTTTGCAGACATGCTTGTCAGCACCAGCCCGGCTTCACCAGCGACCAAAAAAGTTCTCCTCCCACGTGTTCTTTTATCTAAAAATCATCTTTTACACGCCACATATTTCCTCTGCTCCCCTCTCTTTCGTTCCTTTCGTTTCCGCCATAGTGTCCGGTTCAGCCCCGGCAGGGTGTGCAGTGGCGATCGTGGATGAGAGTTTTTTCGGTGCACGTGCTGCTGAGAGGTATGTGGTGCTGTGAGGACTCATTCTTATCTTCTTCCGAACCTCCCCACTCTCCTTTTTCTCTTCAGGTGCTCCCAGCAGGGGAGTCAGCCCCAGCAGGGTGTGCAGTGGCAATAGTGGATGAGAGCCTCTCATTGCACGTGCTGCTGAGGGGGTTAGTGGTGGTGGTGCTTCTGCTGCTGCTGCTTTTGAGGGGGTTGCTGGGTCCCATTTCATCCTGCCACTCATTCGTCTTCTTCCATACCCCTTGCCTTTTCCTCTCCTCTCTCCCCTCACAGGTGCTCCCAGCAGGGGAGGCTGCCCCAGCAGGGTGTGCAGTGGCGATAGTGGATGAGAACCTGTCGGTGCACGTGCTGCTGAGAGGCATGGTAGATGCGAAAGCAGAAGCGCAGAAGCTGGGCAAGCGCAAGGGCGAAACCTCCAAGTGAGTATTGGTCTTAGTTGGCTCACAACGGGCCGTGCTGTTCAAAGCCCCTGCTGGGAAATCACTTTTGAGAATTCTCAAAAGTGACCTCCAAGTGAGTACTGGTGTTAGTTGCCTCACAATGGGCCTTGCTGTTCAAAGCCCCTGCTGGGTGAGGGCCTCTGCCTGGTGAGGACCTGCTGTCAGTGATTAGCTCTTGCGGGCGCACTGCTGAGGGGGATGGTGGATACCAAGGCAGAGAGGCACAGAAGCTGGGCAAGCGCAAGAACGAACCGCCAGGTGAGTACTGGCCTTAGTTGGTTCACACTGTTGCCTCACAGTACCCCTGGTGTGAGCACCCCTGTCCGTGCACGTGCACAGAAGCTGGGCAAGCGCAAGAATGAAACAGCCAAGTAAGTACTGTCGGGGCACAGGGGGCCTTGCTGGTGTGAGCATATTGTCGGGGCTGTGCACGTGCTGCTGAGGGGCATGGTGGATGCGAAGGCAGAGGCACAGAATCTGGGCAAGCGCAAGGGCGAAACCGCCAAGCGAGTACCGTGTATAGTTGGCCCACAGTCAGCCTTGCTGGTGTGAGCATACTGTCAGTGCACGTGCTGCTGAGAGGGATGGTGGATGCCAAGGCAGAGGCACAGAAGCTGGGCAAGAGCAAGAACGAAACCGCCAGGTGAGTACCGTGTATAGTTGGCTATATACTGTTGGGGCACGTGCATGTGCTGCTGAGGGGCATGGTGGATGCCAAGGCAGCGGTGACTTTTGAGTCGACTCGAGGACCTGCTGTCAGCAATTAGCTCTTGCGGACGCACTGCTGAGGAGCATGTTGCATGCCAAGGCAGAGAGGCACAGAAGCTGGGCAAGCGCAAGGGCGAAACTGCTTTGATACGTATTTTCACGCATCCGCATTACAAAGCGCTTGTTTCAAACAATCACTAATTTGTTATCTGATTTCCGCCCACCAGTTTGCAGGAGACGCTTGCCAAGAAGATGGGTGTGCCGGGGTATGAGGAGAAGGTTCTTCGTAGGCTGCTCACTGTATCATACTCTGCATTATCCCTCTTTCCCCTTTTCCACCCACCACCAGGCTCCAGGAGGCCCTTGCGAAAAATATGGGGGTGCCGGGATACGAGGAGAAGGTGCCAGCGAACGTGCGGGAGGAGAATGACATGCTCCTGTTACCCGTCATGTCGTGAAATTCATTGCTGTTATTTTTCCACCCACCACCAGGTTGCAGGAGGCTCTCGCGAAGAAGATGGGAGTGCCGGGATACGAGGAGAAGGTGCCTGCCAACGTGCGGGAGGAGAATGCCAGCAAGGCTGCCAAGCTGGCAGCTGAGCTGGCGAGCATTGACGAGGCGATTAAGAACTTTGAGAAGCTGATCCTGGATGAGGCTTCTGCTTGATAGGGCTTTTGTGTGATGAGACTTTTGCATGAAGTAACAATGAGTCCACTCTAAAGTAACCATTGACGAGGCGATCAAGCACTTTGAGAAGCTGATGCTGGATGCGTGAAGAAGTGTTTGTTTGTACTGAGCACATGCACCATCTCACTCACCTGCTCTGCTGCCCGAATAGAGGTGAACGGGGGCCACTGCAGAAACAGGATTGCTAATTGACTGAACGTTACATAAGACATTTACCATAAGACATTTTTGGTACTACTAACAGAGTCCTTGCAAAGCAGGTGCAATGGTTGGACGGAAAGGATGCAACCAACTTGTGCGAGAAAATCCGATTTAAGTTGAAGCATGTGCAAATGGCACTTTTATAAGTGAAGGCCATGCGCTAAGGACACTTCACAGAACGAGCGGAGCTTGGGCGGTCCAACCTGGTGAATGGTGCAAACAAGGGGTTAACAAAGAGAAGATGTTGCTTCTGACGATTGGAGAAGAAAAGGGAGAGGGAAGGTAGTGCAAGGCATGATGACAAAAATGGAGAGAGACCAGACCACTCCATCACTTACAGCCCAGCGTCTGGCCAATACGGTTTTCCGGTGCCGAGGCCGGACGCGATCGCAATGACTTTGCCTTCACAGTTGTTCATATCGTAGAGGTTGTAAAACCGGCAATTCGTACGGCCGCTGGTGCCGATCATGTAAACAAAATAAACGGACGTTTTTCCAGCCATTAGAGCTGGGAACTGCGTGCAGCCATTCGGATTCAGTCGGAGGGTGTAGGGCCGGGAGGTATTGTCCTTGGCCGCTGGATTTGCGATGAGTGTGATGCTGTCCCAACCGGCTGTGGAAGTTCCTCCTGAAAAAAGAATAGCAAAAGGAAAGACTCGTTAGGCTCTGTATTTTGCATCCCGCTCCACTCGACGTTCAGCCAATCAAGAAGGGCGAGAAAATGTGAAGCAGGGGGAATGGAGAGTGGGGACTCGGGGAGGGTGGGGAGAGTCCAATAGATCCCCACTTGGGAGACATGACTTTGGGTGGGGGGGATTTCTTTAGACCAGGGGAGTGGATATTGGGGACTCGGGGGGAGTGGGGAGAGGAGAAAGTGCGGCAAGTGAGGAGAGGAGAGTGTGGGAAGAGTGAGGAGAGGAAAGTGTGGGAAGAGTGAGGATAGGAGAGTGTGGGAAGAGTGAGGATAGGAGAGTGTGGGAAGAGTGAGGAGAGGAGAGTGTGGGAACTCACCCGCAACACATTCGGTGGCGGTCATCCCGTAGCCTGCAGGGCACTCGCAGTAAGGCACCAGCACCGAAACGTTTCTTTCCAGAGGCACGGTCTTGCAGGTGGCTCCAGTGGGGCAGGCGCCACAGGGTGAGTCTGAGGGGTTGGGTGGGCATGGGTGCAGTGAGGTATGTCAGAGTAATGCTGGTGGGACATTGAGGCTTCAGTAGGGCAGGTGCCATTGGGTGAGGCTGAAAAACGCAGCATGCGGGGTTTGGGGAGAGGAAAAACGAGGGAAGAGGAGAGGCAAGGCAGAGGGAGAAACAAGAGAGACAGGGACCGTGGAATTCTCTTGTATGAGAGGTGGATATGGGGCTGATAGAGGAGTGCGTGATGTATGGGACTGGATGGCAGGGGGATGACAAGGAATGCATGAGGTATTTGGGTGCATTGCGTGGGGTTGATATACCAAGTACGCATGCATGACTTGAGGTGGGAATGGGAAACGCCATGCTCACTCACCCCCACTGGCAGGGGCGGCATGCTCACTCACCCCACTTGCAGTAGCGCTCTCCCTTTCCATCCACCGCACATTTGCCACCCGCAGGCTCACAGCCCAACGCCGCACAGGCAGGATCTGCAGCAGAGGACCAAAGATATGGGAGTGCTTACAGACGTCATAAGGGCATGACAGAGACAAGAGGGCGTTGGGGCGGACTGGGATACGCCAGACAAGTCATTGCCCTTAAGTGAACGGCAGCGTGAATCACAACCTTCAGAATCACGCCCTTCATATTCACGCCCTTCATAATCACGCCTTCTGAACGTACCACTGGCGGCGCTGCTGGTGGTGCTGTTTCCACTGGTGCTGCCAGTGGTGCTGTCAGTGGTGGTGCTACCACTGCTGCTGCTGTCAGTGGTGGTGGTGCCGGTGGTGCTGCCAGTGGTGGTGGTCTCTGTCGCAATAAAACGAGAATGGCGAATGCAGCAAGCAGGGGAGATGCATGGGATGGGGAGAAGCAAGGCAGAGGGAGACGTAAGGGACAGTAAGATTATCATGTGAGAGTGCTGGGCATGGGTGCGGTGCGGTACATCACCCGCGCCTCACATAATCACGCCCTCACAATCACGCCCTCACAATCACGCCCTCACAATCACGCCCTCACAATCACGTCCTCACACTCACGCTCCTCAGAATCACGCCCTTCCCATTCATACGTTCCTCACCTGTGGTCGCTGGTGGTTCTGTTTGGTCCCCATATGCAGTCGCTGGTGGTTCTGGTTGGTCCCCATACACGGAATTCAGCATGCGACGGCGTGTCATGCGTTTCACCGTGTCGTCGCCATGCGCTGCCGTCATCATTTGAGCTGCTGCAGAGGACAAGGGAGAGGGCGTGCAGAGAAGAGAAGAGAGAGCGGTTATGAGAGAGCAGAGGGGGAAGAGAATCGAGCTGCAAACAAGGAAGAAGTGGAAAGCAGAAGCGAGCAGTAAGGAGGGAACAGGGAGAAAGGCGTGGGATCCGAGAGCCTACAAGTAAAGGCAAGCGCTGACCACAAGGCCATAACGAGAGAAGGCAGTGAGAGAAGAAGCAGACTGACCGCAGATGATGAGGGCAAGGGCGAGCAGCAGGAGGCCGGCAGGAGAGGCGCGCATCGACCCCATGATGATGACGGCGGTGAGAGGTGGTGAGAGGCGGCCGCTGAAGTTGCGGCGAGTGGCAGAAGTGGTGACGAGGCTACTCAAGAGGAGCACCAGAGACGCAAAAGAGGAGCTTGTGCTGTCCAGTGCAAGGTGAGTCCAGTGCAAGGTGAGTCCAGTGCAAGGCGGTGCACGGTGCAACGCGGTGCAAGGCGACTGCAGAGCAAGTATGCAACCAGAGAGGACAGAAAGCGGCGATGAGAAGAAGAATGTCAGGGATGGGACGAATAGCAGGCTTGAGGAAATGGATTGCTGTGGGCTGGTGATTACTTTAGAGATATACTTTTGAGATAACATGGCAGGCGCCGTGCCGATCATTCAAGCTTACAATTATAGGACAGCGATGCGGGCTTGGCGAGTGAATTATTGACGCGCGATACGGGATATGCGATGAGTTGCGAAGAGGCGAAACAACTCTAAATCGCCGACGGATGCGTGCGACGGCTTGGCGATGGGTCCATAACTTGAAATGAGGGAATTCTTGGCTCGATAGAGTGAATCGCAGGGACGAGAATTATTGGAGAGGAGGACGGGATGCACTGTGACTGCTTCGCGAGGGGTCCAAGTCAGGTGGTTCTTTACTCGAGTGCATCGCCGCAGGAACGAAATTATTGGGGAGGAGGACGGGATGCATTGCGTCGTTCACGAATCACATTTGATGGCACAACGCGGTACGCGTTCTGTTCGACGCGAGTTCCTTCCGTTAGCGGTACACAAGCAGGTAGTGCAATGGGGATGTGCGACTAGGCGAGAATCTTACGTGATCTGTAGCTGCATTATATATACGACTAATATGCGACTTATCTGTTGGTCGCATGGAGAAAGCGAAAGTAGTAGCTTGTCTGCAGAGAGAAAGAGAAAGTGGTAACTTGTCTGCACTACTAGTCGCAGAGGAAGAGAACGCGGTAGCTGCCTGCATTTTTAGTCGCAGGGAAAGAGAAAGTGGTACAGTAGCCGGTCTGCATTATAAGTCGCAGCGCAGGGCGAAATCGAAGCTGCTAGGAGCATGTTGCGAGGATTGAGCGACGTGTTCCAAGTTCCAACTTGTGCGAAAATCGCCTACCAGACCCTTGTTGCGAATCCTCGCAACGCAATCCGTGTTTCACACATCGCCGTGCTGTGGTGGCTGGACCTTTCGCCAGCCGTACCCTCTAACGGCATTTCTCGGCTACCTGTTTATGCACACATGTACCCTAATAAAAACCGTCATACGCAGAACGTAGGTTTGTCATGTGCACTTAGGTTTCTTACACTCACTAACTCCTAGATACGGTACCACTAGCTTAGACCACATGCCCCGACAATTATTTTAATGAGAATTGTGCTTCATGATAGAAAAACATATGGCAAGTTAAAGCTATGCAATCACTAAAATAAATACACCTCACATTGCAAGCATGCAAGGAAGAGTTGCCTTAGTATTCTGTTGTGTTGTAAAGCTAACTACCGGAAAGCTGGCTCTCTGTGGAGGGAAGAATCCGGTCCCTCATGAGGGAAGCAACTAAGTCACTACAACTGCATATGGCACTTTCTTGAGTGTACGCGACACAACACATGGAGCAGACAAAACCAGGGAACGGCTGGTTCTACGCTGGGGTATTGTGGAAGCAAGAATTCGGTCTGATTGAAGGCAACCCACTAATAATACTTCACGAAGCGTGTGGAGTCAGGGCGACTGTGAATGGTACAAACAAGGGGATGACAAAGAGGAAAGGATTACCGTACTCAGAAGTTCTGCCTCTGACGATTAGAGCACTGGAGAAGAAAGGGAAGCGGGAAGATAGAGCAGACAAAACAACAATGGAGAAAGACAACTCAATCACTCACGCCAAAGAGTATGCATGAAGCGGTGCAACTTGTCTGATAATCGCACCATACAGCCCCCCTTCACAGTTGTCCACATTGTAAGCATAGTAGCGCTGGCAATTCAAAGTGGTACTGATGTTGACAACAGCATAGCGAAGCGTGACTTTCCCAGCCACTGCAGCTGCGAACTGTGTGCACCCATTCGGGTTCAGGCGGAGGGTGTAGGGCCGGGAGGTATTGCTCTTTGCTGTTGGATTTGCAATAAGTGTGACGCTGAAGGAACTGAC